ACATAGTGTATTACTATGGTTGCAAATATCAAAAAATTTCTATATGGTACACGGCACTAGGTTAAGTTAGGGTTTTTCAAAATGCTGACACACCGAGCTCAAAAGGTTCGCCATCCCTGGGTTAGAGCATCGTCCCCACACAAGGTTGCAGGTTTGATCCACAGTCAGGACACATACAAGAAATCAACCAGTGAAGCATCAGTAAGTGGAACAACTAATCTCTCTCCCTCAAAGCTATAAATAAAATGAAACGTCTGTATAAAAGCGAAAGAAAGAAAATGCCAACCTTGTGCTGGTCCTGCGGCCCTTGCCCTATTTATGCGCTATTTCAAGTGCTCAGCCAGCGGATCATCTTATTGCTGGTTCCTTCTTATTCAAAAACTCAGCTTAAAAGTCCATCTTACACAGGAACTTCCTGACCACACAACATAAAGTCAGCTCCTTAAACTACCCTTTCACATCATTTCATTCTCTGCTTTTACTCCGTCTCGTGGATCAGTTTATTATCTGTCTTGCCTACCCTGGACTGTGAGCTCCATGTTGGCAGGAGACCTTGTCTATCTTATCTAATCTGTGCTCTCAGCCCCTCAGGAGGTGCCTGGCACATTGTAAATCCCCACTTTTGGGGGAAAGTGAATGAAGAAACACATCAGGGAGAGAAAGTCTTGGGTTCTGTTTTAGAAGCGTCGAGTATGAGGTGCCTGTAGGGCACTGAGCATGGGTGTCCAGAACAGGTGTCTGTGTGGCCTCCAGCTGAACAGAAATAGCTGGCCGACAGCTAGAGATTGGACAGACGTCAACATATACTCAGGTGCCAGGATCGCTCAGGAGGAATGTGTACAATGAACAGGAAAGAGGATGAGGGGCATCACCCCTGGTAGGGGGCGATGACAATATGTAAGAGATGGCAGTAGAAGAAGAGACCACAAAAGCATCAGCCAGGGAAGGGAAGAAAGCCCCGAGTATATGGGGGTCACCAAAGCCATGAGAAGACAGTATTTCAAGGTACGGAGAAAGCACTGCAGCTGGGAGATGCTCTCACTAGATTGAGCAACCAGTGGGTCACCTCGGTGGGCCCCACTTCATCCGATAGAGGGGGAACAGTTCCAGCAGGATGAAGGGTGCTTACCGAGGAAAAATGGGAGAGGTTTTAATATATAATAATGGGGCACAGAGCCTACAGAGAGATGGGAGGATGTGGTTGGTTATGGTGGGTCACAGATGTAATCACCGTTTTTGGTAGGTGGTTTTGATGTAATTGCTCCCCTGTTTCTTTTCATTCCAGAAGCCACATCTGTTTTGGAATGAAGTCACCCGAGGAGATGCGCCAGCAGGCGCACATCCAGGTTGTGAGTAAGAACCTGTACAGCCAGGACAACAACCACGCCCCCTTGCTGTACGGGGTGCTTGACCACAGGATGGTAAGACCCCTGCGCCTTCCGGGTCCTTTGTGCTTTGACTTGAAACTGGTGACTTATCACATGGGTGGAAACAGGGCCTCCTCCCCCGCCCGCCCCCCTCCCGTTCCCTGCGCGCCCATCCCAGCCCCCAGCCTGCGGTCAGTTGGATGGGAATACACTTTAGCTTCCTGGGTGGTTCTGATTCCGAGTCACTGGGCCACCGGTGAGGACTGGTCCCCACTTTGCTCTCCGGTGGTCCTCATTGATTATTGGGGGTACTTTTATCCAAAGGGCACCAGTGAGAAGGACCGCCCTTGTGAAACCTGTGGGAAAAACTTGGCTGACTGCCTGGGCCACTACGGATACATTGACCTGGAGCTGCCTTGTTTTCACGTGGGGTACTTCCGAGCCGTCATAGGCATCTTGCAGGTGAGTGCGTGTGTGTTCCTGTCCCAGGCATGAACTTGGGAGTTATCAGTTAGGGACATTGGAGTGATCTTAGGAATTGTGAGGGGTGGGAGACACATCTAGGGAAAATTTTTATACTAAGCGCATAATATTTTATCTTCAATAAATAAGTTGCTTACGGACTCTTTATTCTTTGAATTTCCTTGAGTAAGTGGTAGCTATGCAATATAAAAGATAATAAAAGAATAGTTCAAGTCATACAGAACAACAGAGAGAAAAAAGTTAAAGATCCTACCAGCCATCTCTGATTGGCTAGCTTTATCATGAGCTCGGGCTGCCTCTGTGCAGATCTTCTGGTAGGTCCCCCAGTGCATGGTCACTCCGTGTCCTGGGCAAGGCGTGGGGGTGCCATTTTAAAAAGAAGGCTTTTCATCCTCTTATCCTTTATCTGTTTTGTTTAATTTTTAAAAGATGATCTGCAAAACCTGCTGCCACATCATGCTGTCCCAGGAGGAGAAAAAGCAGTTTCTGGATTATCTCAAGAGGCCGGGCCTGACCTACCTCCAGAAGCGAGGGCTGAAGAAGAAAATCTCTGACAAATGCCGGAAGAAAAACATCTGCCATCACTGTGGCGCCTTCAATGGTGAGCAGAACGCAGGAAAGGCTCAGCAGTAACCCTTTCCGCTCATTCTGTTTAGCCTGTTAGCTTTATGCAGTGTTTCGCAGTCAACTTTTTTCCTTGCAAATTAGGCTATAGAGCCTAGCAATTGGTGCACTGTTAGAAAACGCACCTCTCATCTTTTTTTATCCTTGTTGGAGGATATGTTTTGGGGTGTTTTTTTTAATTGATTTTTTTTTAGAGAGAGAGAGAGAGAGAGAGAGAGAGAGAGAGAGAGAGAAACAGAGAAACATAGATTGGCTGCCTCCTGTGCACACCCCAACCAAGAATCTAACCTGCAACCTTTTGGTGTACAAGTCAACACTCAACCAACTGAGCTACCCGGCCAGGGTGCACATCTCATCTCTCAGCTGTAGCAATTTCAGTAACTTCATTAACCAGGCTGCAACCTCAGGCCAGCCTAGCTAATAACCTTTTATTTAACCTTAGTAATAAATTCCTACAGGTACTGTAAAGAAGTGTGGTTTACTGAAGATAATTCATGAGAAATACAAGACCAACAAAAAAGTGGTAGATCCTATCGTATCGAATTTCCTTCATTCTTTTGAAACGGCCATCGAGCACAACAAAGAAGTGGAGCCCCTGCTGGGGAGGGCACAGGTGAGTCTGAGATGCATGCCTGCCCTCTTCCTGCCTCCCCTTGCCCCACCTGCTCTCTCTGCTTCCCCTGGTCCCCCAGGTCTTACACACGTTCTGTCTGTCCACCCTCTGATATACGCACGTTTTGCAAAATGCAAAGTTCACTTAAGTTAGATCTCCAAGAATACTTCATGTGACAAGTGTTTAGCACTAAGCCTAATGCAGACGGGTCTTGTAAATAATAGATTTTCCTTTGTCCAGGTAACATGTCATATCTTTATTGTAAAAGATTGTAAAATTATAGCTGTGCAGAGCACAGACTGAGAAATCCTGTTTCTCACGGGGATAATGAAACATAAGAACTTGTAGGTAATTTTTATTACTTTTATTGGCATACATTTGACTAACAGAATCTTACGAAGTGTCTTATTTTTACCCTGCTGTGAGCTTGATTAGTTCTTAATTCACATAGAACTGTCGAGAATTGATACTATATGAAACTAACCAATTAGTTGAGTGGCTGCTGAGTACCAGACTCTATGAGACCTGTCGGGGAGCATCAGGAGCTGCCACCACTGGGTCTGCTCTCAAGGATCCCACAGTTTAGACGTGTCGGTAGCCATTCACCTGTGAAAAGAGAACTAATATCATGGCCGCAGTGCTGACTCACAAGAATGGCAAGGACAGTAAGGTCAGTGGGAAATCGGGAGGAAAATGTCACTTTGGACTTGGTGAGGGAAGACTGAGGAAAGGTGTGGTTCCATCCGGTGTAAATGCCAGTGGCTTAGAGAGTCGGGCAGTGAGCTCGGGACGTGCAGGTCACAGGGTCTAGGTTCCCGCTGTGGCGGAGGCTCTCTTTGAAAGACCGGGGAGCGATGGAAAAGCACCTCACGTTTAGTGACTGCTGTCACGCACTGACCCTGTTCCGAGTTCTTCAGATGGATTAGCTCAAGCAGAAGGAGGATTACAGCTTTGAGTACGCAAAACAGTTTGTTCTTGTATTATTATCTACTAATGATTGTGTTATTGTCCATACAAACAACTAAGCCTGCTTTGCCCCACCTTGTACTTAATCCCACAATACACTTCCAGGACAGCATTGCCCAAGATGGCAGTGAGGAGGGAGCAGGAGCTCTTGCCAGGCAGTTGGCTTGCAGGCCCACGACGGCCAACTGACAGTACTGGGCGGAGGGCCTCCTGCTCGAGGCGTGTGGAGCCACTGAAGGTTTTGAGCAGGGAAGGAAATGATGAATAAATGGTGATGTTTTCAAAACACCTGGCTGCTCTTGAGAAAACACCATGACGAAAGGGAAAAGGCAGGTCTCAACTGGGGGAAAGAAGTCACAATTCCTAAATCCTGACAAAGGACTCTCGTTGCCAGAACACAGGAAACAGCTTTTACAAATCACTAAGAAAAAAAAAACGACCTGATTGGTTTCAGAGAGAGGAAGGAAGAGTGGGAGAGAGAAACATCAATGATGCGAGAGCATCATTGATCGGTTGCCTCCTGCACACCCCATACTGGGGATCGAGCCTACAACCAGGCCATGTGCCCTGACCTCCTGGTTCATGGGTCAATGCTCAATCACTGTGCCACACTGGCTGGGCAAAACCCACCTAATTTTAAAAGGTGGGAGCAAGACTTGAATTGGCTGAAAAGTTGTATAGGCCATTTGGATACATCATAGAAGGATGTATCCAATAGAAGGATGTATCCAAATGGCCTATAAATAAATGAAAAGTTGCTCAATGTTATTGATCATCAGGGAAATGCTAATTAAAATATACACACACCTTCCCAGAAAAATTAAAATGTAAAAAAACTGAAAACCA